ACGTCTTTTCTAGGTATGTATAATTGCCATTAGAAATTGATATGAATTATTCAAAACGCATTTCTAGTGTTATGTTTTTAATGATATGAAATAATTATGAATTAATCAAAACGTCTTCTAGTGTTATTGTTATAATTGCATAGAAGAGATATGATATGAATTAATCAAAACGTCGTCTTTATTGTTATAAATGTGTAATTGCATAGAAATTGATATGAAATTTTAATCAAACGTTTCTTCTAGTGTTATTGTATAATTGCATAGAAATGATATGAATTAATCAAAACGTCTTTCTATGCAATTATAACAATAACACTAGAAATGATATGAATTAATCTATTATATTAGATGAGAAATGGTATGAATGAATCAAAACGTCTTCTAGTGTTATTGTTATAATTGCATAGAAATGATATGAATATATTGTTATATTGGTAGAGAAATGGTATGAATGAATCAAAACGTCTTCTTAGTGTTATTGTTATAATTGCATAGAAATGATATAAAACAATTTATCAATTATATTAGAAGAGAATAATTGGTATGAATGAATCAAAACGTCTTCTAGTGTTATTGTTATAATTGCATAGAAATGATATGAATTAATTCTATTATATTAGATAGAAATTGGTATGAATGAATCAAAACGTCTTCTAGTTTTATTGTTATATTGCATAGAAATGATATGAATTATTAATCTATTATTATTTAGAAATAAAAAATTATAATTGAATCAAAACGTTTCAGTGTTATTGTTATAATTGCATAGAAATGATATGAATTAATCTATTATATTAAGAAGAGAAATGGTTATGAATTGAATCAAAAGTCTTCTAGTGTTTATGTAATAAGAAATAGAAATGATATGAATTAATCTATTGTTATAATTGCATAGAAATGATATGAATTAATCAAAACGTCTTCTAGTGATATTGTTTTATTTGCATTGAAATGGTACGAATTAATCTATTATATCAGATGAGAAATGGTATGATTTAATCAAAACGTCTTCTAGTTTTATTGTTATAATTGCATAGAAATGATATGAATTAATCTATTATATTAGAAGAAAGGTATGAATGAATCAAAACGTCTTCTAGTGTTTGTTATAATTGCATAGAAATGATATGAATTAATCTATTATATTAGAGAGAAATGGTATGAATGAATCAAAACGTCTTCTTCTAGTGTTATTGTTATAATTGCATAGAAATGATATGAATTAATCTATTACATTAGAAGAGAAATGGTATGAATGAATCAAAACGTCTTCTAGTGGTTATTGTTATAATTGCATAGAAATGATATGAATTAATCAAACGTTCTTCTAGTGTTATTGTTATAATTGCATAGAAATGATATGAATTAATCAAAACGTCTTCTAGTGTTATTGTTATAATTGCATAGAAATGATATGAATTAATCAAAACGTCTTCTAGTTTTATTGTTATAATTGCATTGAAATGATATGAATTAATCTATTATATTAGAAGAGAAATGATATGAATTAATCTATTATATTAGAAGAGAAATGGTATGAATGAATCAAAACGTCTTCTAGTGTTATTGTTATAATTGCATAGAAATGATATGATTAATCTATTATATTAGAAGAGAAATGGTATGAATGAATCAAAACGTCTTCTAGTGTTATTGTTGTAATTGCATAGAAATGATATGAATTAATCTATTATATTAGAGAGAAATGGTATGAATGAATCAAAACGTCTTCTAGTGTTATTGTTATAATTGCATAGAAATGATATGAATTAATCTATTATATTAGAAGAGAAATGGTATGAATGAATCAAAACGTCTTCTAGTGTTATTGTTATAATTGCATAGAAATGATATGAATTAATCTATTATATTAGAAGAGAAATGGTATGAATGAATCAAAACGTCTTCTAGTGTTATTGTTATAATTGCATAGAAATGATATGAATTAATCTATTATATTAGAAGAGAAATGGTATGAATGAATCAAAACGTCTTCTAGTGTTATTGTTATAATTGCATAGAAATGATATGAATTAATCTATTATATTAGAAGAGAAATGGTATGAATGAATCAAAACGTCTTCTAGTGTTATTGTTATAATTGCATAGAAATGATATGAATTAATCTATTATATTAGAAGAGAAATGGTATGAATGAATCAAAACGTCTTCTAGTGTTATTGTTATAATTGCATAGAAATGATATGAATTAATCTATTACATTAGAAGAGAAATGGTATGAATGAATCAAAACGTCTTCTAGTGTTATTGTTATAATTGCTTAGAAATGATATAAATTAATCAAAACGTCTTCTAGTGTTATTGTTATAATTGCATAGAAATGATATGAATTAATCAAAACGTCTTCTAGTTTTATTGTTATAATTGCATAGAAATGATATGAATTAATCTATTATATTAGAAGAGAAATGATATGAATTAATCTATTATATTAGAAGAGAAATGGTATGAATGAATCAAAACGTCTTCTAGTGTTATTGTTATAATTGCATAGAAATGATATGAATTAATCTATTATATTAGAAGAGAAATGGTATGAATGAATCAAAACGTCTTCTAGTGTTATTGTTATAATTGCATAGAAATGATATGAATTAATCAAAACGTCTTCTAGTGTTATTGTTATAATTGCATAGAAATGATATGAATTAATCATAACGTCTTCTAGTGTTATTGTTATAATTGCATAGAAATGATATGAATTAATCATAACGTCTTCTAGTGTTATTGTTATAATTGCATAGAAATGATATGAATTAATCAAAACGTCTTCTAGTGTTATTGTTATAATTGCATAGAAATGATATGAATTATTCAAAACGTCTTCTAGTGTTATTGTTATAATTGCATAGAAATGATATGAATTAATCAAAACGTCTTCTAGTGTTATTGTTATAATTGCATAGAAATGATATGAATTATTCAAAACGTCTTCTAGTGTTATTGTTATAATTGCATAGAAATGATATGAATTAATCAAAACGTCTTCTAGTGTTATTGTTATAATTGCATAGAAATGATATGAATTAATCAAAACGTCTTCTAGTGTTAATTGTTATAATTGCATAGAAATGATATGAATTAATCAAAACGTCTTCTAGTGTTATTGTTATAATTGCATAGAAATGATATGAATTAATCAAAACGTCTTCTAGTGTTATTGTTATAATTGCATAGAAATGATATGAATTAATCAAAACGTCTTCTAGTGTTATTGTTATAATTGCATAGAAATGATATGAATTAATCAAAACGTCTTCTAGTGTTATTGTTATAATTGCATAGAAATGATATGAATTAATCAAAACGTCTTCTAGTTTTATTGTTATAATTGCATAGAAATGATATGAATTAATCTATTATATTAGATGAGGAATGGTATGAACGAATCAAAACGTCTTCTAGTGTTATTGTTATAATTGCATAGAAATGATATGAATTAATCTATTATATTAGAAGAGAAATGGTATGAATGAATCAAAACGTCTTCTAGTGTTATTGTTATAATTGCATAGAAATGATATGAATTAATCTATTACATTAGAAGAGAAATGGTATGAATGAATCAAAACGTCTTCTAGTGTTATTGTTATAATTGCATAGAAATGATATGAATTAATCAAAACGTCTTCTAGTGTTATTGTTATAATTGCATAGAAATGATATGAATTAATCGAAACGTCTTCTAGTGTTATTGTTATAATTGCATAGAAATGATATGAATTAATCAAAACGTCTTCTAGTGTTATTGTTATAATTGCATAGAAATGATATGAATTAATCAAAACGTCTTCTAGTGTTATTGTTATAATTGCATAGAAATGATATGAATTAATCAAAACGTCTTCTAGTGTTATTGTTATAATTGCATAGAAATGATATGAATTAATCAAAACGTCTTCTAGTGTTATTGTTATAATTGCATAGAAATGATATGAATTAATCAAAACGTCTTCTAGTGTTATTGTTATTATTGCATAGAAATGATATGAATTAATCAAAACGTCTTCTAGTGTTATTGTTATAATTGCATAGAAATGATATGAATTAATCAAAACGTCTTCTAGTGTTATTGTTATAATTGCATAGAAATGATATGAATTAATCTATTATATCAGTAGAGAAATGGTATGAATTAATCTTTACGTCTTCTAGTGATATTGTTTTATTTGCATAGAAATGGTACGAATTAATCTATAATATCAGTAGAGAAATGGTATGATTTAATCAATACGACTTCAAGTGATATTGTTTTATATGCATAGAAATGGTACGAATTAATCTATTATATCAGCAGAGAAATGGATGAATTAATCAAAACGTCTTCTAGTGATATTGTTTTATTTGCATTGAAATGGTACGAATTAATTTATTATATCAGTAGAGAAATGGATGATTTAATCAAAACGTCTTCTAGTGATATTGTTTTATTTGCATTGAAATGGTACGAATTAATCTATTATATCAGATGAGAAATGGTATGATTTAATCAAAACGTCTTCTAGTGATATTGTTTTATTTGCATAGAAATGGTACGAATTAATTTATTATATCAGTAGAGAAATGGATGATTTAATCAAAACGTCTTCTAGTGATATTGTTTTATTTGCATTGAAATGGTACGAATTAATCTATTATATCAGATGAGAAATGGTATGATTTAATCAAAACGTCTTCTAGTGATATTGTTTTATTTGTATAGAAGTGGTACGAATTAATCTATTATATCAGTAGAGAAATGGATGATTTAATCAAAACGTCTTCCAGTGATATTGTTTTATTTGCATAGAAACGGTACGAATTAATCTATTATATCAGTAGACCTGGTATTATCCAGCCCGCTTGATGATGGTCCGCTTGAAATGCTTTAAAGCTTGATAATCATCATCATCATCTTGAGGTGATTCTTGGATACCAATCGTCTCTAATTTCCAAAAATTTTCTAGCTCCGAGTTAATATTGGCGTTTGTAGAATGTACTACTTCTTTAGGATATAATTCGTTCTTACAAAGTTTCTCAATATCTCCACTTCCAGCAATTATAAGGACCAACTTTTGATTGAACCAACATATGCCTGATCTTAATTCCTTGATTTCTCGTAGACTAATAAATTTGAAAAAATAATCAGCTCCAATCAATACGTCAGGTTTTTTCCAACAATTTGTTAAATTTTGAATTTGAAATTCATTTGATGTCTCCACTACCTGCAATTCGTTCGTTAGATAATCAATTATATTTGCTTGTAGTGGTATGATTTCGCTTTCGGTAGTTAGCACATTTAGTTGTATGCGAGCAGTGGGACATGATTTCGGTTCTTTCATACCAAATGGAGCTATTCTCATAATTTGAATTTCTGTTTCGGTTAACCTCAATTGACGTGATAATTTTTTGGGAATGAAGGAGAGTTGTGATCCGCTGTCAAATAATGCCAAAGTATTTTGTTGCAGTTGAGGTTGTAATGGATTAAAAATCCTTATTTCCTTACATAAAAATAAAGTTTCTTTTGTCTGTTTGGATCGAGTTGTAGAAAGAAGTTGAACAATCCTTTCGTTTCGAAGGTTCGATTTTTTTTTGTTCTCCATTTCTTTGATACATTGTATTATTCTAAGAAAGTAAATTCTTTTTATCACATAAAGCACTATTATGCAAGGCTTTGCAACAAAAGCATTGTTTTTTGACTTTACAATTTTGTCCTTTGTGACTGTCTTTAAGACAAATAGTACATTTTTTTAATACCTTGAGACGATTCAGTCGAGCATTGAGAGTCGTGTTGTTCACGAAATCGCTGTCCCAATGATCTTGATTGCAGAATACACATAGCCGTTTTTTGTTGTTGTAGTTTTCGAAGTATTTTGATTATCTTTTACTGTCGACAATGCTGAAGTTCTTCCGGGATTGTATCGTTGCTTTTGTTCCGGTTTGGTAGTTGTAGATTTAATATTGAGTTGAGTGAGTGAATGTTGACAGTTTCTAATCTGTTCATTCACATTAACTAAACTTGTTAAAAAGTTTCTTAGTTTGAGAATTGACCAAGGCATGTCCTTCTTCTTGTGTTTATATATTTTATTTAAAATCCATAATGGCAACTTGCTCTCGATCAAGATTTCAATATTTGAATGTTCGAGGCTTTCTCCTAGAGCTTCTAACTGGCGTAGTACTCGTTCTATGTTTTCAGTTGTTCCAATCCATTCTCTTTCATTTCGTTTAATTGATTGGAGTTCGTTGTAGAGTAATGTTGTTACTATTGAGTGATCGCCATATTTTTCATTGAGCAGTTTTCTGATGATTCCATAATTCTCTGGAGCTATATCATATCCAGATATTGCTTGTAGAGCTTTTCCTTTGAGACATGAGTACAAGTAATTCAATTTTTGTATTTCTAGAATCGCTTGTGTGTGGACTGCTGCGTTAAAACTGCTCCAATAGGGTCTCCATCGAATAGGAAGCGATAAATGAGGAAGATTTACATTAATATTTGAAGAAGGAGTAAATTTTGCTTCTTCTTTTGTTTGTTTGTTCGTCAACTCCTTTGAGAGTTGTTTTAAGTTTTGGTCGACTTCATCCTTGTGCATTGTCAGTGTTATTATCGCTTCCTTTCCTTCGTGTAATAATTGAAATATTCCTTGGTCACCTTCTGTTACTGTTTTGTATTTTTCTTCCTCTTATTCTCTTCTTTTCATCGTGACGATTTGTTGAGTATATGTGAACCATTTATCGTTGATAGATTTAAGCGTAGTCACACATAATTGGATTCTTCGAAGTTTATCTTCTAACACTCTTTTTCTTATCACATAAAAATCTTCTTTTTCTTCTATTGTCATATTTGGATCTGGAAATTTGATCACCAGTTCATTTACTTCTTTAAGAAGACTCACTAACCTTTCCTTTGCCGGTTGAAAGCTCGCAATAATGTGGTTTGACATGTTTTCCGGTTCGTGGCACCAATAAATTTTGTCGTGAAAAGTTTGTCTGGTTGATATTCGAATAGTTGCAATACAGTAGGAAGATTAATAAACCTTTGTTTTTCGAAAACGTAGTATGAATAAACCGAGGAATAAAAAAGAGAGGAAATTTATAATAAAAAAGAAGACCGAAGAAATTTAAATTTGTTAACAGAGTAGTAGTCGACAATAATGACAATGAACAATGAATCGTTTTGTTTATTAGAATTGAATTTACATGAGTGAGGATTGGGTGTGTCTAAGATAAAAATCACATATGTGAAGAATTGGAGGTGTTTACAAATAAGAGATTAGAATCACATGTGTGAAGAATTTGAAGTGTTTACAAAGAAAAGATTAAAATGAAAGCTAATTTCAGTTTTAAATAAAATTAATGAGGAATAAATCTTAAGAAGCCAAATTTATGAGGAGATCATTTTTGAAAGCGTAAGATTGTTTACAATTTAAAAAGGGGAGATGATTTATGATATTATGAATTTGGTTAGAAGTTTTCGCGAAATTATCATTTGCGACATTGACGAAATTATCATTTGTTATTGGTTATTTTGAAGGAACACAATATTTTAATACCACACGTTGTTATGATAGTGAAAAAAAAAAAAAAAAAAAAAAAAAAAAAACAATGATCTGAATTAGCTCCAATAAATAATATAAGGTAAACTTTTTAGTATATAATTCTTATAATAATTTTTATAATTTGAAAGATATTTGTAAAAAATCAAGTAAATTTTTTTGTTGCGTTTTTTTTTTTTTTTTTTTTTTTAATTTTCTGTAGGTAAAAATTTAATTTCAAACAATAATTGATAACATTTACTGAATGCAGTTTGCATTTGCCATATTGTCTTACTCATATTATAGAATCCACGTGAAACATAACGTCACTGCTTCTTTATAGCAATTGGCTTATATCATAGTATATCAGTTAAGAAAAACGATGGAACATTTAAATAAATCATTTCCTTTATTATTATTATTATTTTTTTTTTTTTTTTTGATTGTTTATGAAAATAATATTAATAATAATTTTGTTGTAACTAAATCGCATAGAGTGTACTTTTACAGTATATTTGTTTGTTATTTGAGGTCAAACAAATAATTATTTACCAATGCAACTAGATAAGAATAAGTCCGAAATGGATAAATTTCACTGTGAACATTAGTGAAATTTTTAGGGGCACTGATAAGACAAGGAGTGAGAAATAGTGTTGCTGGACGGAGCACTTTGATTGCAGAAACAAGTACAATAATCAATTTCCAATGCATTATGGTAATAAATTGTAAAAAATATCTTAAAAAATATTGTGTTATACGTATTAAATCTTATTATAACTACAAATTTTTTATCACATAGATAAGTTTATATATTATTTTCTACAAATTTTCTTCAAGTTCTACAAATTTTTTATCACATAGATAAGTTTATATATTATTTTCTACAAATTTTCTTCAAGTTCCACAAATTTTTTATTACATAGATAAGTTTATATATTAATTGGTATCTGTTTAATTAAATGCAAAAAATTTTTTTCCTAGTATTATACGAAATATGTTGAAATAAATTGACCACAATTATTAAACAGTTTGATGAGCCTTTTCGAAAAGGCTTGATCCTATATAAAACTTCTGATTGAATTATTTAAAGAAATAAAAAATGCTTAATATATAATATGAAATTTGTAAATCAAAATGAAAGAGTTGCACTAAAAAGAATGAAAAGGAGCAAAATATTATCAAACAATCAGGTTTGAGCTGCACATAGATATAATATGAATTAGTTTCCATAATTTTTTCCTAAAATTTAAATGTTGCAGATAGAAGTAATTATTCAATTTGTTTGCGGAAAAAGAAGAAAAACTAGCATTAAATTGCTAATTTTCATTTCTTTTATTTCATTAAAAATCTTTTTGAAACTACACCAAAGTCATATCATTTCTTATTTGAATTCTCCATAGATTTTCAGTTTTTATGCTAAAAATAACATTACATCATAAGTTTAAATATTTTTTGACAAGAAAAATTTAAAAGAAACGAATTTTTTTGTCAGCAGTGATAATGATAATTATTCATTGTTTTTATTATTGCTGTAAGCTCAAATTCTGCTCAATGTTTTCGCTTTCTAAATTTGTTAAACAATATGCAAACAAATAAAGTTCGACTTTGTCAACTGTTTCTTTCTTGATTTCATTTTCTTTTTTAAATAAAGCATTACTTTAATTCCTAAATTCTTTATTATTTAGTTAAGTTTAATATACTTACTCGAAGATCATTAGCTGCTATTAGAACATTCTCCAATTCAGTTTCTAAAAATTTAATTTGTCTACTTTGAATGAAAGCTACCACGTTATAGAAACCGCTTTCGTAATATTTGGCATACTATTTAAATGAACTGTGATTTACCGGATGGAAGTGTTTCTTGTGTTGCCTAAATATAATCTTTCTAGGATGTCTACTCATATTACTTTTATAGTTGTTTAAAATTTTAATTAGTTTATACTTTTATAGTTATACTTTCATTATATTAATAATATTTGTGATAAGTATAAATGTATAAAATTTCTATATTAGTGGCATAATTTATTCAGGTGCAACAGATATACTCAAAACATAATTAGCTAATTACTTTTCCATTAAAATTGTTTTATATTTTTGTTCTAATTTCATCAGTAAATACTATTTGATAATATGCAATACATAAAGTCTATTTTGATATTTTAGGATGAATTTAATGATATGATAAAAACTAGTTCTCATATATCAAAATGTTTGTGAAAAATTCTGCGAAACTTTTATGAAATGTTTTGAAAGAAAAATATTTATGGAATATTTTTTTTTTAGAAAAAAAAGAAACGATCGGATATTTAAACAATTACAAATTTCGTATTACAATTTTTAATTAATTCAATTAAAATTTATCTGTGATGAAATAAGTTTGCGAAAAATATCAGAGAATGCAGCAAGTAAACATGCAGATGCATTGCATGAAAATCCATTTTCAAGCACGATTTTTACTCGATTTTTGAAACCAATATCTGCTGACCACTTTAAATATACTTCAGCTCCTAATCTATCAGTACGCAATTCATCCCTAAATGAAAACAAAAAAAAAAAAAATTGTTAAATATGGATAAGGAAAACTTTGAAATTATTTAATTTCAAATAAATTATTAAAATATCTTTTAACAAAATTTATTGCTTTACGTTTCAACTTTTCTTTCATCAATTTCTTTTTTTTATCATAGTAATACATTGAATTTTTTCAATAATTAATTCAATATAGATATAAAAATGCTCGCAAATAATAAAATAGAACTATCTTATACTAGCTCATAAAAAAAATTAACATATTTAGTTTTTTGTTAAATAATTTATTAATTATAATGATATTAAACATAAAAAAAGAATGAATATGCAAACAATAATCTTTTTTGTTTCAAAAATAAAATTTTTAATTTTTTAATAGTTTTTTTAATATTTCAAATATTGTTATCAATAAATGAATCATTTTTTTTAATAGCCATAACATGATTTTTTTAAAGAAATAATTTGAAAAATTTCTAATCACTGTTCATGTTTTTCTTTCACTTTTTTTGTTTTTTTTTTTTTTTTGCTTAAATATAAATGTGCGTTTTTTAGTAATTAATTACAAAAATCAAATTATTTACAACCTGCAAATAATATTTGCGAATATCTTCTGGTACAACCCATAAAACATCCAACATTAGTCGCTGCTGTAACTTTCAATTACGATTGTATATGTCTGAGTATCATACATTTATGAATTGTTAATTACAAGAAGATGTGTTTTTATTGGAATATACAAACTTAAATGACAGAAAAGAGAAACGATAGTTTCAAGAGTTCCACATCGATCAATGAGCCGAATAAGAAATACAAATAATTTCTCTTTGGCTCTGATAACTACTGCTGCTGGATGATAATATGAATATAAAAGGGATATCAGTTCAAGCGGAATATCTGAGACTATCTCTTAAAAAAAATTCCGCACTCTAATCCTTTTGTTCAAGGCACACGTTCAGATAACTACTACCGTTGATGATTCATTTTGTATAGAAATAAGACATTTAAAAACATTAGTTCTTTCTAATTTCAATATTTCTAAATCTTTAAATATTTTAGGCCATTCCTTTGAATACAAAAATGAGCACAAAATAAAGGAAACATTGTTTTAATAATGATTTCATTTCCATTATCTAACTGATCTATTTATAAATGAATGTAAAAAAGAATAGAGCCAATGTCGGCTCAAAATGTAAAAAAGAATACAGCCAAAGTTGGCTAAAAAACTTGACTATCAAATGGCAGCACCAATAGTTTTTAGATTCCTAATCAAATCCTTTTATAAAATAAAATTTTCCGCCAGTATAGTGCACGAAATTAGTGTATAATTCTTTTTTTTCCACAAAAAAGCTTCAACCGGACTCAACGCCATGATTTCTTTCTGGATCGATTCTTCACTGCTTTTAACATAATAAACCTGTTCCATTGCAAGTTTTAATAATCGGATTATTTAAAAAAGATCATCCGCTGGAAATATTACTTGTTTCTTACCCTTCAACGTAATGCAAATTCTGTCTGACATAGCTTCCATGAGCAACAGCCCAACAGGAAGCAAGTTACTCTTTCATATTTCAAATGCTTAGAGCATTAATCTGCACATAGTCAAAAGATTAATACTTTCACATTTGAACATACATTTTGTCAGAATGAGAGCCAAAAGTCTTGTTGCAAGAAGACTGATTCCGGATATTCCTAAGCGATGCACACTCTGGCCAATTTTTACGAGCATCAAATGATTCCGGAATAAATATATCAGAATGTCTTATTGGTGACAGGTTCTTCTTATGTCCATGGATTTTTTTTTCTGTTATTTACACCAAGCAAACATATTTCATAGTATCGCTATATAAATTAAATTCATTCATTCCTGCCTGAAAATACAAAGCTACCTGAACTTGATGCAAACTCGCAAACAAATATAACTTTTTTCATTTTATGTATCACTGATCTTTATTAATGACTTATTTTCATTTTGATGTGAGTTGACGTAATCCTTAAGTTCCTGACTGGATAAATTTTCTGCTTCCGCGGGTATTTTGATGTTTCTGTATTCACCAATAACAAATCTGCAAAATATTCAGTATATGTTCTTGTAATTTGAAATCTAAACAACATGCAGTATTTAATTTGTAAAAAGGATTATAATTATTGGTTCCATTTTAAATATTTCGATTTCCATGCTTCTGGAGTGGAATTCTAATTATGGCCAAGATGTGTTTACCTCTTCTTTTTCTTTGAAGCTTGCTAAAAGGACGTAGAATTTTCTAGATCAATGACCAATGCTATAGCCACCAAATAGTACAATGAAAATAAAAAAAGCCACAGCACTGATGGAAAATAAATTTTAAACGGGGTTTTTTCTTTATAATTTTAATTTGATGTGGTCCGCGATAAAATAATTCTTCTCACGAGATGGTTTGTTGCTCTGGTATGATAAAATCACTACAGCAAATTTAATTATCTTTGTTGCCGATCATTATTATAAATTCCGATATGCCGTCATTTTAGATTTATTGAACATTATTATCGATTAAAAAAGGAAAAACAGAAATATATTATGGAAATTCTATTTGGGTGTTTGAGTTGACAAAAATTTATCGATGCAAATAAGTCATTGCAATTTATAATTCATTGCAGTAATCTGAAAATTTTTTAACCTATAAATTTTTAATTCAAGATTAATGAAATAAAGAGTGAGTTTTCTCAATCCACAAACCGATAAAGAATTCCGATTTTCCTAGGTAAGATAAATGAACTAGACTGAACAATTTACATCTAAATTCAATTATTTTTCACTTTGTATAAAGGCTGCTGTAATGCAGTACAAAAATAGCACAACAGTCTGTGAAAGTAGCAATAAATAAATTGACTATATTGACTAAGTTTTTATCTCTACAATGAGCAGTAGAGACGGATGATCTCGATCACTAGTGGAATTTATTGAAGATAGTTGCAAAACCTAAGAATCTGACCAAAACCTAAGAAACCTAAGGTATAAATGAACGTGAGTATGAATTAGTGTAAATACGAGATCAACTTGCAGCGCTTCAGAGTTATGGAATTGGTTGAAATCGGCACTGGATTTATGTATTTTTGAGCTGCTACCTGCCGGCAAAGTGAAAGAAGAAAGAAGCGAAAAAGTGTGGCAAAATGAAGTTGATTGGCGAGAGCATATTTAAAACCGTTGATAGAGACCTGTAGAAATCGATTAATAGTTTTATAAAAGAGTGAGAGAGAGAGAATCATGACCTCTAACGCTGGCAGTTATGACCTCAACGTCTACTCTGATCTGGTCAGGCACCACCAAAACAGCATTTTGGACAACGATTATCGTCCTTTCCCGAAAAATTATATTCCAGTATATTGACAGAAAGACATTTATGGACGACATGATTCTTTTCATCCTGAAACAATTCGCATCACAGAAATTTCTGTAATAGGTCTAACTGTCGCGGATTTAACATCTCGAAGCATTAAATAAGTGTTAACATGCTTAATATAGCAATCCATTGATGTCTTTTACAATTCATCACAATGGTTTACAGTTTTTGATCTTATATAATTCATATACTATGAGCATCTATCATGTATTTCTATTACAACTCATAGTAGCCACTTACCATAATGTTTAGACAACTTTTTTCTTTTGTATTTTCTTTTGTGATAATTATTGTAAAACCTATTGTTAAATTTACTTACTATCATGTCTAGATAATTTATCCTTTGTATACTAATCACAAACCACTCCCACACTTTAACTCAAATAATGTAAGATAATTGCTATATAAGGATCACCCTTGTTAAAAGATTTTAGTATATGTGTAAGTTATCGCCAAGAACCAGACGATTCTAATTTCAGTTGTTCTCTATCAACGTATTGCCCTATTACTTCCGCTAATAAAGAAATTGGTTTATTTTTCTGTTACCACATGTATTTACATTTACGTCCAAACAATCTCCTTGTGTTCAAAAACCTCTTCCAAAATTAATAATTAGACGATCAAATCTTCCACGCAAAAATTTGCTTCCACGACACTAATTATCATGCGTCTCATCTAAATGAATCCTGAATTAAGATTTTTAAATGTCATATTATCTTTATTTTCTGCAAGTATTACTAACTGTAGTAGACATTTTACAGTCTTTCAAGATCATATAATAAATATTAAACAGTTAGAAATGAGAAACGAAAATTTATTTGGCAGTGACGTGAGAAATCGGACGTGAAAGCCAGATGAAAAAGCAAGCTTTTCAAAAAAAAAAAAATTAAGTAACGAGCTGCTTCTGAAAAGTTTTTTAAGTAGAAAGAATACATTTTATTATTATTCAAAAGAATCATAATAATGCCAAGATTTTCACTTATATTTCAGTTTTTTTCCAAAAAAAAAAAAAAAAAAAAAAAAAAATTAAGACCTTCAAGAAAGGAAAAACAATTAGATGTAGAAAGTTTTCATGAAATGCAAAACCTCTCACTTTCAGTTGCCATGGCATAAAAAATAAGATGAATTAATACAAGAAATTTTATAAAATGCTCCTATTTATTGACGAATTTGACTAGAAATGATTTGGAACTGAATAATAGGACCATTGAATAAAGCTTACTTAAAACGAATAATTAATTATTTTTAACTGGATATTTATTAGTTTTATATACTGTAATCATTGCTAGTTCTTTCCTATTGTATAAAAACTTCTTCGCGACGAACGGCTGGTCGCTCGATGAATTAATTCAATAGGTGCCGCTTTCCAGCTATCGTTGTTTTTTCGCAGTTAAGGAAGAACATTAAAGGAGTAGGATAGTTTCTGCATTGGAAAAAAATGCTCAGTAGTAAACTATATTTAAGCAGCAAGAAAACATTGAGAAAAACAGAATTCAAAACCAATTGCAATTGGCAGTCGCAAGCAAGATCAAAAAGACCACAATTTTTGTATTCTAATATATTGCATTTTTGTATTCTAAATATTGATCACTGATTATGTGAATCATATAAGATGACTAAAGTTGTGAATATCTCCTATCCTTAATTTTATTGAAAATTTTAGGAGTACATAAAAGACCAAACAGTTGTATTTCAGATAGAAAATGACGACATTGCTATTATGGATCAGTCAAGCAGTTTTCGTCTTTTTTCTTACAATTATGTACCAAATATTAGTAAGAAATTCCTGAAATTCCTAACACTCCTTAATAAAATGTTGTAACACTTTCAATTGTCTGGTTCAAGCGAACAATCTGGATAGAAGTGCCTACTGTTAGGTTGAAATGGATCTAGAGAAAATCAAAAGCCGTCCACAACAAAAAGTTCAGTAATCAGAAAAATTAATGAAAATATATAATAATAAAATTGTTTCATTTCAGTCAAGCATTATAATTGTCATTTCATTAGCACAGTGCTCACACAAAAAGCCTCGAATTCAGGATCGAAAGGACAAAACTGAAGTAACGCTGATGCTTGCACTACTTTCAACTATCAAGAATATTTGAGAATTCCTATAATTTGTAATACTTGAAATTTGACAAGTAATCAAGTAAAAGGCATTTACTTCAAGGTTTCAGCTTTTTGTTGCTCATGAAATCAACCAACAAAATAAAAATATAGCTTAAATGCTTTTAGAATAGGCTAATTTTTTTGTGAAAGTTATTAGTTTTAAGCAGTATCTTTTAGATACAGATGAAATTAGAAAGTATAATTAATTAAATAGTTCATAAAATTCCTTTTAATGATTTTAATTTATATATGAATTTTTTTATACATTTAATTTATACATATAAAAATCCTGAAGGATACTTTTATCTACCTATTTCATTTTACATTCGGATTTCAAAAAAAGGAAAAAAGAAAGACTTACCACATTGATTTCAATATTTTCGAACAACGCTTGTTGATTTCATTGAAATTTAAACAGGAAGCATTATGAGTAATCGCATGATCTCTGGTTTTAGATAAAGAAAAAAGTGAAAAATGCGCATACTCCAGCATCAGAAGAGAAAATAAGAGATAAACAAGATAAAAGTAACAGTCCAGATGAAAAAAAAAGGGCAGCGCTAGAAGAACAACACACGTCAGCTGTTGAAGATGGTACATGGACCTTAGATTACTGAAGTCCATTTGAAGATCTTTGAGAAATTGCAATTTTGTCATTTACTGATCTTGATCTGAGCATTATTTGAGAAATCATTATTTTCCTGGAAGAAAAGCCGAAGTGATTTAAAATGAAATCAAAAATGCATTGAGAAAACCAATATTAAAACTCAATATGAAACCCAATATTAACCTTGATTTTAGAAAAAGTAGTTTAGCAAAAATCCCAATTTAGCCGAGAAGGAAAAAGAACGCTTAAAGGAAATGGGGGAAAAACGTATTGAAGAAATAAAACCCAAAATCATGAAACGAAATGCTAAAGAGGTGCGAAATTCAATGCCTTTTTTGAATAAAAATTATGTTTAGCATTCGCAGTTTATTTTGCTGAACTACTTTTTTTTTTTTTTTTTTTTTTTTTTTTTTTAGCATATTTTTCACTATTTCAAGAAAATCACTTGAGTGATGCAAAGAACAGCTCATGTTTGAATCCACCCAAAATTGTATTTAAGTAGATCTTTAAAAAAATGGCTCGAGATATCTGATATCTGACGTTTATCACTCAATGTTGCAGGAACGAATAGCGAAAGGTAAGGAGACACGTGGCAAAGGTGATTATCCGACTATGGACGATGTACTGAGTGATTGGGATTCTGAAAGAGATGGTAAAAAGAAAAATGAGGTGAATTAGATTTATGTTTGTATGCTAAGTTAGTTACACTGCATTCGTCCACTAAGTTTTATTACTAATGAAAATGTACTTGTAGTAACTTAAGGCTTTGGAAATTGTCGCACACTAAAGCAAAAAAATAGAAAAATAATTCGATGGACAATAGGATCAGAGAGATAATTTTAATTAGACAAAAGATTCAAATATGATTTAAATATGAGACAAAAGATTTAAATATTTAAATATATAGGATGATGATCAGAAATCAAGAGCCAATACAAATCTCGAAGATGTTGACGACATGAGAAAGGTTCCATTACTAGCTTTTTTGCATTAAACTAAGTAAATCTAACGAAAGTTTAATCAGTACTAATGTTAAAAAATAATAGAAGAAACTTGAGAAGTGAAACTGATAAAAAACATCCTACATGTTTATTTTTGTGCAAAAGTGATGACTTCTTCATTGAATCTATAATTTGTATCACATTAATATAAGAAATGATTTGAGAATGAAGAAAAAAAACCAGCAGAAAATGGTGATGCGGAAGAAAAGAAAAAAGAGGATAAAGGTGGTGAAGTTTGCTGCTTCTAGACAGGCCATTACAAAAAAAAGCCTTATTGTCAGTAGTGTGCTCTTAATTATTTTCTGACGATTGAAATTGAGTACTTTGGAAGGTCAGCTGAGCTGATTGAAGATAAAGTATTATTTGGTTGAAGAATTATAGTTAATTTTTATTAAACACTGTTTCATTAACTAATTATTTGAGGTGAGAAGAAAGAAATTGATAGCAGAGGGAAAAGCAGTGGTAGAGATACGGGAAAATATGCTACAAAAGGCAGTATAAAAAACGCCAAAGGACCATCTGATAGCATTAAAAAGGTGGATAAAACAGCTGGTAGTCAGGTAAAGAAATTCATTTTTGAAATGATATCTTCAACTCTTCTACACATTTCACGAAATTAGCGACTAATAAATTGCAGATTACTTCGTTTTACTTACTGAGTTAATTTCTAATTGGTATTGACAATTAGTAGGCCTTATATTATTAACGTTTTCAGGAGAAATGATATCTCTCTGTTTATTGGATTCGCATTCCCTTGCATACTTCCAAGGTTCACCTATTTATTGGCGGAATGATAGACAATGCAAGACAATAACAACTGATTCAATCTGATTTTATTGCATGTTTCCTTATACGATTACAAATTATATGTTCATACTGTGTAATGGAATGAAACAGTCACTTCGTCAAAGTAATACGTCAAATCTTCCTGAAATTAAAAAAAAAATAAAAAAAAAACTAAGGAAAAAAAAAAACTAACTTTTTTATCTTTTTAATGATCTATCATCCTAAATTATTAACAAAAAATGAGTACTCATTAACGGCTAAGCAACTCTTCTGCACTGCATTTCGTTAAGGAACATTTTAATCTTAATACTTTCAAAACACTGAAATCAATAATAAAAGAAATAAAGCTGCAGAAATTCAATCCATCTTCTACAATAAACAGTGATAGGTATGTAGAGCAATGGTAAAATTCATAACAAGCTTTGAACTTCAAACACGAGGTTTAGTAGAGTCAAAACTTGAGGTACATTACCAAGAATCTTAAAAATACCTAAAGATTACTGCGAAAATAAAAGTATATGGTATTTGATTTTCTGGGAAAAAGATTTCTATATATTCATGACAAATCAAATTCTGTGTATGTGTATGCTTACATAATGCAATAAGGTCACTTCGTTAGAAGGAAATTTCTGGATCTAAACATAAGGATTCCATTCCATTCACAGTCTAAAGAAATCTAGCTAAAATTAAAAGAGGATAGCAGACAGGCTTGTTAAGTTTCGCAGCAGACAGGCTAAAAAAAAAAAAAAAAAAAAAAAAGGTGAATTATCAATTTGTCAGCCGAACAAACTGATATATTTGAAGAAACTCATGAAATCACTAGAGAAAGAAGGAAAACAGATTAAATACAAACAAAACATAATACACTGCAATGAAGAAAATTAATCATAGCATATCAGTGCATGCAATAAAATTGATAAATACCAAATAGAAAAATAGATTTCCTTCTCTCCTCACCTATGGTGATTCCCTTCCCTAATCTAATTGACGTAAATTTCATTTTTAATATATTCTTTAAGAATAAAAGTACCTAGTCTATTTATTAATCGTATTTAGAATCACTGTAATATAGCAGAAGATGAAATTAAGATGTGAGATTATTGCATAAGATCAGTCACTTATCTTGGACAGTAATCCTGAAGAAACAGCAAATCCTTATGTAATATTAGTAAGTCTAATGACTTTTAATGCTTCTTGCACTAGTCTTCAGGACTACTTTCTATAAGAATGAAGGAACATTACCAAAGATCAGTAAAAATTATAACAAGATCCAGAAAACTGGCACCTACTGTGGACAGAATTAAGTTTCTCAACAGTAAGCTCCAGTTGTCCAATTGTCTCATCAATATCATTATTCAGTATCACATAATTAAAAAGGTGTCCAAATGCCTGCTGGTTGCAATATTTTATTGATAACTGCAAATGAGATTTTATAAAATTTATAATTTTAGAGTCCTAAAATAAGTACCTTCGATTTTTTGAAAAAATGCTGCGTTTGAAAAAGTATAGCCCAAAGGTCATTATTATTATATCTATGCCAGAAAATTTTAGGAATGAAGACATTATTATCGCTACAAAATTCTTTTAAGGTTTTTAGAAATTCATAATTTCGGCTCAAAAACTACATCTTGTAAACCGTGAAGATTTGCTGCAGCAATAAAAACAACAAATGGAGCGTACTAGCTGTCCTGAGAACTTTCAGCGCCTGAAATTTGTTGCAATCAATGAAAAAAATCTATATATTGGCAACAACATAAAGTGATAAATCTGAAATTACGTGAGGTTCGACATCCAAGATAGCTACTTTTCCTGTCCTGTTAATATTGCGAATTGTTTCCAGTTTAATACCATACATGCACTCCTCGTTGGTCCCATACTTCAAGTATTCATTTCCTTGAATATCGGTAAGCATACAATCATAAGAACAAAATAGTAATGTTTCCCATCAATTTCGCTGCCTTGTTGTATCTATAATAAAAACGATATAAATTTAAGAGTACTAAAAAATCAGTGGGTCGCAAAAGTACCTCCTCTGTAAAGTTATTGATTCAAAAAATCAAAAATCAAAAAAAAAAGGTTCATTGATAGAGAAAATTTCTTCGAAATGATAAATCACAAAAATACGTCTTCCGTAAAATCAATGAATCACAAAATTATTTTGTTTGCATAGGTCAGAGTTATGGTGGTACAATGATAAAGCCTTTCAAAGCTTTTTGCTTCAAAATTATAGAAAGACTAAAGTACTTACGCGGAATAGGATAGTCAAACCTTTGTGGATGCCTATGAATAAGTGTATTTTTTATGTGCCTTCGGCCAACACCACGAGCATCCAGCAATACCAACGTTTTATGTCTGTAAGCTGCCAAACGTACCATCTAAAAGAAACACTCTTTCGAAATTTAATCTAATAATCTTTGTCAGATATCAAACTTGATAGATTTCGATAAAGTAAAATCAAAAGAAAAATGGTAAAACTAAACAAAAAATGGACAAGACAGTTTCAACCTCTTCAGAAGTGACGAGATCAAGTTAATCGAATAAAGCGGAATGTTTCTGAAGATACTTGATTGTGTAATATTTTTTCTTCTTGTTGAGCCACATACAATGAGCTAAATAAGAATTCGTCATTCACATTCAAAATTATCAAACTGAAAAAATTATAAATGGCATTAAGAAGAATCCACAAAATCCCTACTAGGAAATGGTTTGACTGGAACTCTCAAAGTTGCGCTCATGATGGCATTTGGAAGATCTGAAATCATAAGGTTGCTCATTTTACATTTGGACATCCTTGATAACATATTACTTCTTAACAATTTTCAATAAACTAACTATTGTCTCTAGCTTGTTCCATAGCCAAGTAAGCAATTCTCCATTTCTGCAATTCCAGTGATGGTATTAAACCAGCAACTAAGGCACCCGTAGTACCACTGGAACTACCATTTCCAAGAGCTGGAAACTGAGAGATATATCGCGCTTGCTACCAAATATGATCATCTTTTGATATCAGCTGAAACAATTCATTATCACCTGAAACTGTTTTTCCTAAAATGAGCAAAATCAATAGTGCATCATTGGAGCCATTCCAACCCATAAAACTTGAAAAATGAGCGTGCGAAATATTTGTCCGAGCTCAGTAATTTTACAAAATCCAGTAACACTCATACTTGGAGAATATGCGCCGGTTTTAAAAAATACCGGCCTGTGAATATGGAATCAAGTCATCTTCACCCGGATCATAGTCAAATTGAGCTCTGACAAATATTTCACATGCTGGTGGAGCATTGCGGTAGAATGGGACTATCTTGAATGTCACGGCACCACATGCATCGCGCAACAATCGCTGTAGCATTTCAACGCTTTGATTTCACGAATGACACTATTAATTTCACGAATTTCATCACAACATGAATTTCATCACAACTCTAATTTATCAGTGAATCCTCAAAATACTAAGAGCAAAAAATCAAAGGTCATTTAAAAAAACTCATATAACTATTAGGAAAATTAGAATTTCAAACTAAAATAGGCAAAAAACTACGCAACATTTCTGCCTTAAAAAAATCGATGTTTAAAAAAAAATATATTCTTACACTTATTAACTTTAAAAAGGAATGGAAAAAACTATTTTTAAAAGAATGATGTAATGATATGCTGCTCCAGACGAATGCTACCGAGATCGAAAAGTCTTAATGAGATTACCATATTCAAGAAAGGACAACTTCTTTTTAAACATACCGAAAGATCGTATAGTTTCTGTTGATAAACTTAAATAAATAATAAGATTCACGCATCCTGTTTATGTATCAATCCACCATGCATGATTTTAGCCACTTAGCATCGACCATTTTCCGTCACCTGAATACTAATTTTTGAAAATGTTCCCTAATTACAAGTTAAAAAATGTAAAAAAAGTTTTTCTTTGGAAAAATTTCACTAAAAAATGATCTCAAGATGCAATATGAAATCATGAGATGCCAGATGAAGAAAAACCTACCTTCAAAGTAATTCCCATGATTCTTCGGTATCTTTCTGAATTTGCACTAAGCGTACTGACTGGCGGAATCCATCATCAAGTCATCATCATCATTAAGCGGCGGTAGCTCGTTCGCCGAAGATGTAACTGCGTGAGATGTCTGCGTTCGAAGTACACCACCGTTAAGATATGAAAATGGTAACTGCGATGATGTAGACACCGATATAAAAAATAAATATATATATAATATCTGAAAATCGATATAAAATAAATATATCTGAAATTCATAACCACAATGATGAAGGAAACAAATTTTTGTTTAGAGCAAAGCGGTCGCAGAAACAAATGCTAATATCCTAGTTGATCCAGCTCGATGTGTATCATTGATAGTGAATCAAAGTCAATGGTTCTAATAAGTTGCTGGCAGAAGGGAAGGAAATCTGATTTTTGATGTTATATGCTTTGCAGAAAAAGCATGAAGAACCAACCTGAACAGACATTTGTGGAAGCGCACTTTGCTGTTATGGACAATTTTTCCATCATTGTCACTTATTTCTATTGTGGCGCAATTGACACGAACATTACCTTCATAAATTTCATGGATTGTTACATCGTAGCTTGTAAAACTACCTAAAAGTGGTTTAGTTTAATAAAATTCTTCTCCAATCTCCTACAGTATACCAATAATCTGTCTGAAAGACGAGGAATTAAAGTTTTTCTTTCTTTTTTCAGTAAATGAAAAAGTTTGAAGTTACCGATTTTCAAACAAATAATTAATAGTGAACATTATAAAGCTTATTAAATTAAAAAGAATCGACAGTTTTTAAACCTCAATTTCTTGTGATTCAAGTAACCCACCAATTTGTACCCATAACTAAAAGTATTTAAAGATAAACTTTATAAAAAAGGATTTAAAAAAGACGTGTACGAGAAAACAAAAAGGAAATTTGAGAGAAATAAACATAACAATTAAATATTAAAAACAATTCCTTAATAATCAAACCTCTCTAGCATATTTGGCAGAATCATGCTCCAATACTGATAGTTGAATCGATAGAATCGATATTCGATTATATAGCTGAGAAATTTCAATTTGTGTTTTATTCAATAGTTGATTTAAATTGAAATTAAGCTTCAATAATTGAAGTCAAATAATATTTACATTGAATTAAAACTTCTTTTAAATAATTATTGCAAAATAGAAAGTGTTCTTCAGAAAATGTTCTATTTCATGTTCTTTACGCATATCAGTTTGATGGGTCTTTGAAAAAAATTAAATTTAAATTTAAACTATGAAGTGATTGCATGTTCGAATATTTGAATTTTGTCGTATTTTTGAATATTTGTTATTTCAAATCTAGAAACTTATCAACTCACTAAATATTCCTCAAATCGTAAACAGCATCCAAACATCACTTAGTCAACTATAACGCTAGCTTACTCATTATTATCTAATCCTTCTATTAATAATAACAAATATTCAAACACACAACAAAATAGCTCAATCAGACGTCGGTATATTCAGAAAGAAGGAAAAGAAAAGATGTAAAGAAGCGATGATGGAAAATCTGACGCAGAAAAATCTCGGATCTTAATTTTCTCGAAATTTGCGTTATTTTCAGCACCAAATCCATTAACAGAACATGTACAGGAAGATGCACCTTATTCCGTTTTGGATATATTAATTCCTTTTATATTTCGATTTCTGCTCTTAATCCTTTAGCTATTTTATTTGAGAAGTATAGACAGTTGTGGTCAGATTGAATCAATTATTCAGATATCTTTCCGAAAAGCAATGTTTCAGAACCTGGAATATATCCATTCCAATTTTTGTATCTTTAATAGAGCAAAAAAATTTTGGAATAAGAAGAAGGAACAGAACATTCGTTTAAACAAAACTTCCTAAAAAATTTGGCATCCCAAGTTTAGTGGACAATATCTTTTCAGTGACAGCAACAGCATATTCAAGAAGGGGCAAATAAAATGGGTCGATGGACGAATATTTAACAGAAATTTTCTGCTTTCTAATGTAAAAAATACTGACAATAAAATAATAGCGTTTAGGAATATGTTTTAAAATAGATGATACTTAACAGGTTTGGTGGATAAAATGGGAAAAAGAATTCTCGAAATAATTAGTTCAATGTATTATACATTTTGATAGAAAAGTTACTAATAAATAAAGGGAGTGATTAAGAGAGATATCAAGCATTGTTGTGGATAGCATGAAATTATTTATAGAATCAAGAAGATAAGCATTTAAAGAATATGGAGATGCATTATTGTTCAAATGCATTATTTATTCAGACAAGAAATGTCACTATCCTAATATAAATCTTCGGATTACTCTGAAATGATTATGATGACTTTTTGTTTGTTATTTTTTTTATTTTTATTTGGCGGACTGAAATTTATTTTACATTTACTAACTTAACTAAAACGATAGAGAGATGTCAATAAAACTGAACACTAAGCAAACTGATATGGAGGACTGTTGAGGATTAAGGAGATCTGAATTCATTTTCAAAAATTAGGTAATCAGCAGGATTGCTCAACTCAGTGCCGTGATTTACAAAAGTGCTAAGTTTGTTGGTATTAAAATGCTCTTTATGATGCTCAAAATCACTTTTTCATTAAATAGCAAACGACTCCAAAAAGCGTAAACTGTCAAGAAAAAAAGAACAAGGCTCGGTAGTTCTTGTAAAAAAGTAATCAGCTAGTAATTTCAATGTTAACTTTAACAGCTTCTTCTCAGAAGTTATGCACTTCGCCTATCAGAAAAAGCTATTTTTTCCACAGCTAAGGAATTCTAATCTTTTTCTTACAATCTTCATACTTTTATCTCTGAGTTAAGAGACATTAAAGATGAGGCATAGACTTTTTCACCTTTTCATCGGTTTTGAAATCATCTTCCTATCGTCATTTTCCTTTCCAAAACCTCAAAAACCATAAACACACAATTAAAAACTTTCTCAATGCTGAAAAACAAAGAAGCTAATGTCAACAGTCTCAAAAAAATATGTCTGTACACTTCAGTAAGTAAATTTCAATAAGTAAAAAATTTCTAAGAAAAAAAAATTTAGATACAACTTTTCCTTAAATTATTAGAATATGAGAGAGAATTTCCACAAAAGCCTTGTTTTCGCCTTTCTATATGGATATATATATATGGGCTATAATTACTCGTTTTGTTCGTAAGTCTTTTCCGCTTCCCCATCGCAATAAAAAAAAATCCATCACATAGCATTGTTTTCTATCTCACAGGAAAAACAAAAAAAAACAACAAAAAAAAAATTAAAAACTAATTAGAAAGAAAATTGATTAAAACGAATAATATTACACGAAGTTCACGTGCTTTTAAGTTCATGCAGTTGAACGCTAAGCTTCAGCAAAGAAAAAACCTTTACCTTTTGATTAAGAGTAATAATAATAATGAACTCATCCAAGAATAACTGATCAATCCCTTTCATTTCTTATCATCATTCATCTGGAATGTTCGAAAAATATTTTCGAAAATCCACTCAATTTTTAACGCTTTTTGAAAATGATTTAGCTCCATAGCGACTCACACACAACAAGTGAAACGAATGAAAAGTTGTAAATATGTAATAATCACAAATTTCTTTGCAATTTTCAAAGAACCAGAGGTCATAAGTAGCCTATGTAGCAAAACGAACTTTATTAGTGATAGGAATGAAAAGAGAAAATAGTATGGTTGCATTCCTCATGAAACCTCTGGAAGTACTGGAAAAGTTCTTTGATTTTGATATCTCATCTTATTGACCTTTAATATTATCACTGATTGATTTTATTCTGACTCAGCAGGGATAGCACTCAACTTACAATAATATACCGAATAACAATAAACTTTAGATTCTGAAGTTCTCCGTGATAAAATAATCTAGCATTTTGATATCTCGTCCTATTTAAGCATTTATTTCTCTTTACGAAATAATGTAAATTTATTAATTCATCCCATAAAACTGCCTAATATCTCTTAAACATTTCAAGTTTTTAATCTACCAGCAATCAATTAGATTATTCTTTATTTGCAGCGTATCGCTTCGAAGAATCTTGTAGTTGATAGATTGAGGAATAGTTTACAGATGTGGTAGAAATTAGAGAAGGAGAAGGGGAATGGATTAATCAAAACGTCTTCTAGTGATCTTGTTATATTGGAAGAGAAATGGTATGAGTTAATGAAGTAATCAAAATGTCTTCTAGTGATATTGTTATATTTGCAGAGATGTGGCATGAATTAATCAAAATATCTTCTAGTGATCTTGTAATATTGGTAGAGAAATGGTATGTGTTAATGAAGTAATCAAAATATCTTCTAGTGATCTTGTTATATCTGTAGAGAAATGGTATGAGTTAATGAAGTAATCATAATGTCTTCGAGTGATATTGTTATATTTGCAGAGAAGGGGAATGGATTAATCAAAACGTCTTCTAGTGATCTTGTTATATTGGAAGAGAAATGGTATGAGTTAATGAAGTAATCAAAATATCTTCTACTGATCTTGTTATATTGGTAGAGAAATGGTATGAGTTAATGAAGTAATCAAAATGTCTTCTAGTGATCTTGTTATATTGGTAGAGAAATGGTATGAGTTAATGAAGTAATCAAAATACCTTCTAGTGATCTTGTTATATTGGAAGAGAAATGGTATGAGTTAATGAAGTAATCAAAATATCTTCTAGTGATATTGTTATATTTGCAGAGATGTGGCATGAATTAATCAAAATATCTTCTAGTGATCTTGTAATATTGGTAGAGAAATGGTATGTGTTAATGAAGTAATCAAAATATCTTCTAGTGATCTTGTTATATCTGTAGAGAAATGGTATGAGTTAATGAAGTAATCAAAATGACTTCTAGTGATATCGTTATATTTGCAGTGAAGTGGCATGAATTAATCAAAATGTCTTCTAGTGATCTTGTTGTATTGGTAGAGAAATGGTATGAGTTAATGAAGTAATCAAATTATCTTCTGGTGATCTTGTTATATTGGTAGAGAAATGCTACGAGTTAATGAAGTAATCAAATTATCTTCTACTGATCTTGTTATATTGGTAGAGAAATGGTATGAGTTAATGAAGTAATCAAAATATCTTCTAGTGATCTTGTTATATTGCAGAGAAGTGGCATGAATTAATCAAAATGTCTTCTAGTGATATTGTAATATCTGTAGAGTAATGGTATGAGTTAATGATGTAATCAAAATATCTTCTAGTGATCTTGTTATATTGGTTGAGAAATGGTATGAGTTAATGAAGTAATCAAATGTCTTCTAGTGATATTGTTATATTTGCAGAGAAGTGGCATGAATTAATCAAAATGTCTTCTAGTGATATTGGTAGAGAAATGGTATGAGTTAATGAAGTAATCAAAATATCTTCTAGTGATCTTGTTATATTTGCAGAGACGTGGCATGAATTAATCAAAATGTCTTCTAGTGATATTGTAATATCTGTAGAGAAATGGTATGAGTTAATG